CAAGATAGGATAGCGCCTAAAAACAATGGAGGAGCGATAATTGAACATCGGTTGAAACAAAAAAGAGGTAAGCTGAGTCAAAACAAAAAAGAAATGATGTTAATAAAATCAATTTGAGAAATGACGTAGAAATTGTGGGGAGGCACTACATATCACGCTTCGTATTGCAAAAAAACTTACCAGCAAGGCCATCTGGCTGTTTTTGATTCCAGCTACCGCGCTTACGCCGAAAGCGCTGCGTTTACCTTAATGATATGTTGCGTGGCTTCGCTAAATTATGATTAAGCCGAACGCGGCCGTAGCTTGCTCTTCGATGCCGAGAAACCCAACATAACAGGAACTAATATTACAAATACTTTCTTTTTACTATTTTACTTTTTCAATATTCGATACGTAAATAATAATTATTCCTTGATTGTATTAATGACTTGGATAAAAAAATCAACGAAAACAATTATTTGATTGTAATCATTGTATCATATATGACACTATCATTTATTACAGGTAAATCTTTTTTGGAAAATACTGCGATACATATTATTTGTTGAATTAAACGAGATGAAATATATATTTTCTTGTGACAAATGTCATTTACATATAGAGGGATTCTTGTGATTATCAAAAATTTGAAATTATAATAGTGTGTAGAAAAATGTCGATGTAAAACAATGAATGATCAGTATCTCTGCGTCTTCGCGATCCCGCCAAACTTTGTAATTTTTTGTCAGGAAGTTAAATACACCGGAAGTTAGACAAACCATTACTGTAAATCTGAATTCTGATAACTTACAATAACGACATATTCTAAATTAATTACTCCAGTGACTTTATTAGTGATCTCTTTATTTGCTTGTAATAATAACTGCTATCTCACCCCGCAGAATGCTCTTCTTTTTAAACGCCACCACACCAGCTTAAATAGTTTTGTCCCCTTCAATCTACGGTACAGTTCATGATTATTTTTCAGTAGTTGGAATACTTCTGCATTATCATGTTTCTCCTACATACCGTTCTTCCTTGCTTCTTTTTGCCCGTACTTTTTAATTTCTTCTTTGACCGTTTTAATGTTTGTACTCAGCGTATGTCATTATTTCTTACATACTATGGAACATTCACCATATATCCAGTATATCCAGTTGTATACCATATGTAGCGAGCATTTTCATTTGTAATACTGTAATCTATTATCAAATTAAGTTTTTATGTTTCTATGATACTTGTTACTCTTGCTTGTTACTATGTTTATAAAAAACATTTATTAATTTTCTATTTTAACAACATTGCTGTAACAAATTTAGTATAACAAAATATTCGTTATCTATTAATATTATTAAAATTCTTAAAACAATTAATAGTGGTATACGTACCACATAATTGGTGACCCCGACGTGATTTAGAAAAACCTAACGTGATTTAGAAAAACTTACCGTGATATAGAAAAAACCCGACGTGATTCAGAAAAACTCAACGTGATTTAGAAAAACTCGACGTGATTAGAAAAAAGCCGACGTGATTTAGAAAAACTCAACGTGATATAGAAAAACCCCGCCGTGATTTAGAAAAACTCGACGTGATATAAAAACAGACGACGTAATTTGAAGAGACGCACTCCTTCGAAACAACCAAATGAACGAATTCAACGATTCACGTGATCACAACGACGAAGAAAGAAATTGACAAAATCCTGTATTCATCGTCAATCCTCAACGGAATATTCCGACTTACTGTTAAAAGGAACATTGAATTCAATCCATTAATTTTATTATTTCAAAATTATCTTTCCGAAATTAATCAATTACACTAGTCTACAAAAAAAAATTATAAAATGTACATTTGACGCCACTGTATTTTTCTTATGTAGTTTGGACCCTAAACCCAAAAATCACAGTGCAGAAAGAGTCGCAGAAAAATGCTTTTTTACCTTCTACGTAAAGTTTGCTGTTTTAAGAAGACAACAAGGTACGCAGGATGAGAATCTACGGAGAAATTACCAAAAATTATGATCTTCTCTTCTATATGTGAGAGCACAGCTTTTTCCTGTACATAAAATTCCGCTAACTAGACCGTTAGAAATTTTTGGGTTTCATGTTTCGTACGTTTCTGAGATTTTACGTGTAGGAGCTATTCATCCCAATCTTTCGATTTAAAATAATTTCAAGGTGGCTGCCACATCCAGTGTACCGGAAGTAGCCTACAACTTTGTTATTTTAAACGGAATGCTACAATTTTTTTGGATATTTGAATTGAAAAACAGTTTTGTTTAATCAAAAATCACAATCCAAAATTCACTCGCAAAAACAGAACTTCAAGAATTTCGTCTTATTTTTTACATACAGTTTGTACTTTTACAATAGGAAGACAGTATTTACGACCAAAGCCTATAGAGAAATATCGAAATTATGATCATTTGTGAGTCAAAATGCCAAAATCCAGCTTTTCCTATTTCTGTAATTTTTATTATTTCACTGCAAGATAAAGAGATCTTGGTTTATGCGTTTCTGGATATAGAAGTTCAGCAACGCAATACCACAATCTCTTGAAAGAGTTGCTTTTGACAGGGGAGTGGAAGCAACTATAGTGGGTTGGATCCACAATATGCTTGATAGTAGAATAGTTTCTAGTTCACTTCACGGTGACACGATACGCTTTAGGCCGGGAGGTGGCTGTCCGCAGGGAGAGGTGCTATCTCGCTGCTTTGGTCCCATCTGGTTGATGACCTGATTCTAATAATAATAATAATAATAATTTATTATGTTAATAACCCAGAGGGCATACATTCGTCACAATCGAAATAGAAATACAACATAAAAACATATATAAGAAAGAATAAATTACTAAATACATTACATTACACTAAACCCTTGATAAAATAATCGGTGTAATAAATCGGTGTCCGGTCAGTAGCGACAAAGGCACAGTCGTAATACATCATAAAAATATCAATCGAAGGACTGTATATCGTTTAAGAAATCATCTATGGAGTAATACGCCTTCCCTACTAAAACATTTTTAATTTTGGTTACAAAAGCTTTATAAGGTAAGCTTCTATAACCACAATGCAAGACATTGAAGAACTTCACTCCATAGTAATTATATGCGTTTCTCGACCTCTCCAGTCGCAGTGCCTCCGGTCGAGTGTCATTCCTCCCCCTAGTGTCATAACTGTGAACATCACTATTTTTCCTGTGCTGACTATGATGTAAAAAAATGAGCTTTAAACATTCCAAAATATATAATGAAGGAAGTGTTAATATTTTTAATTTGATAAAAGAAGGCCTACAGTCATCAGTATAGTTCAAGTTAGCAACATTTCTAATAGCTCTTCTTTGTATCCCAAATATTCTTTTATTGATCGGGGCATGTCCCCAGGCCAGTAACCCATAACTTAGATGGCTCTGAAAAAGCGCAAAATACGCGGAACGCAATACCCGAGTAGAGGAAAACTCAGACAGACGACCCAACAGAAAGGCAGTGGAGCTTAAGCGTGAGGCTAATTTCTCACCATGAACATTCCAGGTAAGCCCGGAATCCAGATGAACACCCGAAAACCTGACTCCTCTATCCGCTACATAGGATTTAATAGTAGTTTGCTTTAGTGTAAAGGTCATTACTTCTGTTTTATCAGCATTCGGTGTTAGACGATTACTTGCAAACCAATGCCTTGCCGAATTTAACATTAAATCTTGCAATCCCCTGGAATCAACGTCAGAATCATGTTTTGTCAGCAAACTTGTGTCATCCGCATACAAGATTGAACTTGAGCTTCCACCACTCAGGAAAAAAGGCAAATCATTTACATATATTAAGAATAAAATAGGACCCAAAATTGACCCCTGAGGAACACCACTTGTAATATTCCCAGGGTTAGACATCACCGAGTTAAATTTAACAAATTGACTTCTATTTGTAAGATAAGATGACAAAAGCTTGCAAGCGTTCGGGGCGACATTGTAAGCGTACAATTTACGTATTAAAATAGAATGGGACACGCAATCAAAAGCTTTGGTAAGATCCAAAAAACTAGCTTCATTGTATTGCGACGCCTCAAAACCATCGACCACATAGTCGATAAAATTTTGTATAGCCAGTGCCGTAGAGAGATTGCGATAGTCGAAGCCGTTGGTGTAGAAATACAAGCATATGCTGATGACATTGTCGTTATGGTCAAAGGAACCTGTTAATCGAAGATATCCAAAGTCCTCCAGGTGACCCTAGATAACATTTGCGCTTAGTGTAAGGGAGACAATTTCTCAATAAACCCGCAATAGACAATCGTTATGCCCTTCACCAGGAGACAAAAGTTGGATGAACTAATCCGCCCAACTATCCAAGGTGGAGAAATTCCTTTCTCAAAGGAAGTCAAATATCTAGGAGTAATCCTAGACAAAACCTTCTCATGGAATGGACATTTGCAGGAAGTTTTACACAAAGCTACACTATCCTTGTGGACTTGTCGTAGTCTTTTTGGAAAAAATTGGGATCTTACCCCTGAAGGACTGTACTCGCTCTATGTGACTGTGTCTATGATCAAATACGGAGCAGCAGCCTGGTATAGGAAAGTCTGACAGACGTCAGCTATCAGTAAACTTTCACGAATTCAACGAGTAGCTGGATCGGCAATCTCTGCCGCGATAAGCACAACACCAACTCTAGCATTGGATGTTCTGCTTGACCTACCTCCTTTGCATTTGCATATAGAGAAAGTGGCTAGAACTACCATTTACAGATTTAAGCAATATAAAAACTGTTCCGACATATCCTGCCAATGGCTTGCGGAAGACATTATAAGCACTGATATTGTGTGCTGTCATTTGACGGGATCACTATCAGAGATTAAAAGGGCCCATACACCTGCGAACAAATTGCACAACAGAGGCTGTTGTGCAAAAATTGTATGGTGTATGGTGTTGTTCAACGTGATGCGCAACAAGTTGTAGAAATTCAAAATTGTTTGAAATTAATTGCGCAACGGATGACGTTGTGCAACTATTGCATCATGTATGGGTCCTGGCTCGAGAGGTTGTACAGTTAAGGGCAGGTTTGGACAAGTTCCGCATACGCCACACACTAGTAGTACTGATAATTTTAAAATGGCGAACTTTATAAACAACAAAGACTTTTGGAGCGAATTTATTAATCTATATCGCCAGTTGCCAGAAGTGTGGAAAGTGAAGAGTGATGTGTACAAAAATAGAAACAAGAAGAACGTCGCGTATGAAAAACTAACCGAAAAATTAAAGGAAAGCGCCGATAGAGAGATGGTGCGAAAGAAAATAAATGTTTTGCGTACTGCGTATCGGAGGGAATTGAAAAAAGTAGTGGCGAGCTATAGATCTGGCACAGGCACCGAAAATCTTTATGAACCAAGTTTATGGTATTTTAAAGAATTAGATTTCCTCAGAGACCAAGAAAGTCAATTACCAGGGACTTCTACCACGGACGAGCCCCAAGAGACTGAAAATGAAGGCAGGGTAAGTAATCAAATCAGTTATTATTTAAATGCTGTTATTATTTTGAAATAATTTATTTAAAAAGTAATATATTTTTAAGCACAACTGTGAAAAACAGATAATTTATAGTTAAGATATAATGTTGTCCTACCACGGAACAGCTCCAACAGTATTAAAGTAATTACAAAACTGTGCTCTTACTTCTTTTGCTGTTGTTGAAGTGAAGTTTGCCTTGAAGTGGTTGTAGTGTTTGTAACGTAGGATCTGCTCTCCAATCAGCATTTGTAAACTCTCCGGTATTTATATTTTCAACATCTATGCCGCCTTGGAAGTAACACTCTACATTTTTATGTCGTAAAAAGTTGTGCAAATAGCAACATGCTAATGTTATAGTAACAGCTTTTTCTGGACATAGATTAATTTGACTTAACAGAATTCTAAATCGAGAAGCTAGTATCCCAAATGCATTTTCAATAATCCGACGGCTGCGTGACACCCTGTAGTTATAAATTTTTTCTTCCTTGGTGAGGTTTCTCTTGCTGAATGGTTTCATTAAATTCTCCAGAAGTGGGAAAGCGTCATCCCCTACGAAAACATAAGGCACTTTGGTATTAGTTAAAGGCAAATTTTCCGGTTCAGGAAGGCCCAAGTTCTTTTCTACAAGTTTTTTATAGAAGAAGGTATTTGAAAACACCCCTGCATCAGAAACACGTCCATTAGCGCCCACATCAACCATCAAGAATTCATAGTTTGCATTTACAATTCCCATTAAAACAATACTAAATGAATGCTTATAGTTGAAGTAATAGGAGCCTGTTCCGGGGGGTTTAAATATGTGTATATGTTTACCGTCTATTGCCCCTAAGCAAAGAGGAAAATTCCACTTCGTTTCAAAATCTTTACTTACAGCTCTCCACTCATTTTCACTTTGTGGTAGCTGAAAGAAACATATCGTTAGTGTCATTTATAGAATTGCATCTTGAATCATGCACAATTGAAGAGCCCACTGCAAAAAAGACGAAAGATTTCTTGAAATTCCGCCTTTTTGCAGTGGACTCTTCAATTATTATTTATAGAATTGTTTAATAAAGAAAAGTAGGAATATTATAAACCCATTTTGGCCTTTTATAGGATTCTTCTCGGGACGATGGTAACCCAGAAGCAAAAGCAGCAGAAGAGGAAAATCCAGATACTTCTCAAGAAATAGAAATGCCGGAAGCTGCCACAGGACGTAGAGCTCCAAAACGAAAAGGGACAACCGAGGAATCTCAGACCCGAAATGAATTATTAAGAATGGCTTGCCAACATCTGCGTGCTTCCAACAATGAGGTAGACATTCTAGCGAAAAGTTGGGCACTGGAGCTAGTGAAAATGTCGCCCGAGCAGCAAATTCACGCGAAAAAGGCCATTAGCGACATCTTATATGAAGGGCGTTTTGGAACCCTTCACAGAAATTCTGTAACAATAAATGGGCCAAACTCACGTCTACTTTCATACGGATATTCACCTCATACAAGTAATAGTAGTCTATCTCAATCATACCCTCCATCTCCAGTACAAATCACCACTCTAGAGAACAGACCACAACATTCATCCCAATACGTGTACCCATCACATTCAAATAATACAAAAACTCATTACTCCCCAGCTCCGGTACAGATAGGCAGACCAGAAGACCCATATCCAGACCCAGATTTTATTTAAATATATTGTAGTAGGAGAAAGTTGCCCAACAGTCAAATAACTTCAGTTTTTCAGGTTTTATATTACTTTGTTTATTTTTAGTTCATATTATTTGTATTGTTATTTTAATGAACGTTAATAAAGTAATAATTAGTTACCTTTATATATTTCTTCAAAACCTTTATGATTGCGTCACAGATCTCTACAATAATCTTTCCAAGTGTTTGAGCAGCTATTGCTGTTTCGAACTTTAAACCCTCGTAAGCCCAGAAGTAAGGTATCGTAAAGTTGCAAATAACCTTTGCTTGGGTGATATTGCTTCTCTCATTATAGTATGTTGTTTTTCTATAAGTGGTGTTATCATTACCAATAATTCGCCAAAAGTAGTGGGGTCCATTCGTAAATAATTTTTGTAATCTAGTGGTGAACTCAATTGAAGTTCCTTGAGGAGATTTGCGTGGCTAAAAAGGGATCTTTTCTTCAACCACTCTTTCATCCATACTCTCCTCTTCCTCCTTTTTTTTTTAATACCAACATCCTCGGAGGTTATAGCAATTATTATAGCTAAACAGGCCGCTTCGTCAGATGGCATGTTTCCGTATGAACGCAACACATACAACTGAGGTTTGCATAAAACAGCGCACAGTGTATGGCTAACCATGTTTGTACAACACTTTGTTGCGCAACATCAGGTTGCCCAATATGTATGCAGGTGTATGGGGCCTATAATGATCGATACCAGATTGTATCACCTGAACGGCAGTACTGGATCGAAAACGAAAATTCTTGGTTCAGGCAGATATTTGCAATCGTTTTAAAGATGAAAATTATAATAAATGTAGTTTCTATACTTTATTATTGGTTTATTAAAAATAAAATTCAACTTAATATGTTTCGAATTAGAATGTAAATCCATGTTGCAAGTGGTTTATATAAAGAATATAACGAAAAAACTTCTAAACTTGCTTTATTTAATTTAATGTGCAGTTAGACCGGTTTCGGGGCTAGCCCCATCATCAGTGACAATGTCAGTGGCAGACTAAAATTGTAGAACGAAGATCATCAAAAGAACAGGGGGAGCAGTAAAAGCTTGTATAAGGCTGAAGGCTTTATAAAGCGGTGATAAAACTGTATAACAAAATGGCGATAGTAAAAACGCACGTTTTTAAAAAAACTTGCTAAAGAAAAACAAAAATACACGTTGATACATTTCGAAACGTGAAGAGACTGTCTCTTCATTGGTCTCGGATTGGTAGAAGAAGTGAAATTGAGTGACCAACACTATCTCCTGATCTAACACCACTCAATTTTTTCTATTTGGGGTTTCTGAAAAGTAGAGTGTATGCAACAAAACCAGAATCACTAAATGATTTGGAAAATAGCATACTTGAAGAAACCACCAATATCACTAGGGATATACTCCTGATGGTTCAAAATTCCATTGAGTGTTTGGGTCATTGCCAGACCGACGAAGGTCGACAGTTTGGTAGTCAACCTATCATAATTCTTGAAAGAATTAAGATATCGTTTTGGTTTTGGTTTCTGGGGTTGTGTTTCTTTTTTCATTACCTTTAAAATAATGTAAAACTCGACAGGGGTTGCTATTTAAAAATGTAGGAGTGGCCACCCCCTAAAAAAACTCCACATTGCATGGAAGTTCTAAACTATCTAAGACTGTAGTTTTTATTACTCTTTAGTGACCCCCACATTTTCAAATTTTTTTCTTCACTCGTTCAAAATTTATAGCTCCGCCCCGGGAGTTTTGGGAAGCCCTGTATAATATAAAAGTACGTTGACAGACGTTACAAGTAAAATTTATGAAATAAAATGGGTGAACTTACAAGAAATATTCAACTTATTGTTCAAAAACCAGAAACGAAAATATCCCATACGCATGTTCTCTTGTAAGAGAAAAGTATTATACAGAGTGTTTTTAGAAAACAAACTCTTATGAAAAAGCGAGACAATAGCATCAAAATATAAAAAATAATTTGTTATAAAAATTAAGTAAGTTTTGGAAAATTAAATCGTTATATATTCTGACAAACAAATACAAAGGACAACCAGACCTCGGAAAAATTAAATTGCGAACCTCAATAAAATCTCTTTTGAAAAATTTGAAAAATGAAAATAAAATTGTTAAGTTTATTTTTACATTTAAAGTAATGTGAAATGGGGAAAGTGAAAGTAAAGTTGTGATTTTAAGTTAAACGTTAAAAAAGGAATTAGGTTGTAGGGTATAGAAGGGAAGTGGGTGTAGCCGCAAGGACCCCAAAATCTGCGACTAGTGTGTGCGGCTAAATACACAGTGTATTTAGCCTCTAGTGTTTCATTTAATAAATTGTAAGATCAATTAAATACTATTCGCCATTATCTTGTAGCGCTTCTGATGATAACTTATAGTCGAAACATGTTAAGCTGAATTTTATTTTTAATAAACTAGTAATAAAGTACAGAAACTACATTTATTATAATTTTCATATTTAAAACTAATTATAATATACGGGTAAATGGATTACACAATCAACATTGATCCAAAACGGCGGAAGGCGTCGAGGCACCAGTCGGCAGCCAGAAACTTCGGAATAAGCAAGCTTACAGCCTGAGTACGTACTGTACCTTATTTCAGGCGGAAGTATTTGCTATTGACATGGATGCTAAAATCTTTCTTGAGAGAGGGGTAAAGAACGTGACACGATTTTTCTCAGACTGACGTCAAGCCGCTCTCTAGGCGTTGCACGCCGTGAACACGGTGTCGGCTCTGGTTAATGACTGTAAAGGAACTTTAAACCGACTGAATTGTGATAACAGAGTTTCTCTGATCTGGGTTCCAGGTTACTCTGGGGTTGCTGACAATGATGCAGCAGATGAGCTCGAGAGGGCTGCGCTAAAGCGTTTGCGGTGCCAGAGCTAGCAGTTGCTATATCATTTGCGGTGGCCAAACATAGGATTGGACTGTGGGCTGAAGAGAGACTTCCCCTAATGTAGATCAGTTCTAAATAATAAAAATAGGAAAAAGTAAAAACTTTTTGTGAGAAATATTAAAAATACTTAATTTATTTCAAAAAGTAAACATGTTTCAAAACAAATGTTTCATCTTCTGTACTTGAAATAATTACAAAATGATGGAAAAATTTAAAATTGCAAGATAAATAAGTATTTTAAGTATTTTATTATTTAATTTTTGAGAAATATGGAGAAGTTCATCCCTTTTCTATTAGATCAGTTCTCCTGGAATGAGACACGCTAAGTTGTTTATTAACATCGCCACCGTCAAACCCGAGAATATTTTAGGACTTGCTCGTACCAGCATTAAAGTTCTAATGGGGGTCATTACTGGTCATCACAGCCGATTAAAGATTCACCTCAACTTGTTGGGCCTAGTCGACGATGTTGAATGCAGACTATGTGCAGAGGACGAGGAGACGGTTGAGCGTGTTTTATGTCACTGCTTAACTTGATCTTTGTTTAGAACAATGCTTGTTTAGTTCTGATGTGAAACCCTGCATCTTATCTTCTTAACGCATTGACTACTTAGTAGCGACAGTCTTTGTTTGAATATTATAAACATTGATGGCGGCAGGTAACACTTAAAGTGACGTACCAACAGAAGTAGATACTATAAGAACGGAGACTTTCCCGGCCGGTGTTAAATGATCTAAAACAAGTAGTGTTTTCTGTTCAGCATTTCGAAATCTATATCTTAAAAGATATCTTTTCAAATTTGTTGCAAACAGATTGTATTTAACTGTAGCTTTCATCTAATATGTACCTAAATCGGTATAATAAATCAATGCTCCTGCTCTGTAAAATTAAAGGCTCCGTAATGTTTAAGAGATGGTAATCATTCGCGTACGTGATACAATGGGGTAGCGTAATTCAGTCGCACGGTTGAAACCGTTGGAGAAGATCCACAAATCACTTTTATGGCATGCTGTCAGAACCAACTGAAATTGCTGAAACTAATTGAAACGCAGTGTGCATTTGAATGCCGCGAAAAAACAGACGAAGCAAATGCGCCGGCAACGAATAACGTGATCCGCGGATTTCCATATTTTCACTATAATTATTTAGGATACCCTAATTGGGACCTTTGAACCGGGAGACTCGTGATCTAGTATCGCCGGCTGCGGCCATAAACCTATGCAAACTCAGTCCGGAGCGTGCGGAGCCGTTCGACCCGCATACATCATTTTGTCACCGACCGGTCACGATATTCTACTCTTGGAGTCTTGTCGCCATTTGCATTACACGGGACTGTTCCCCCAAACGTCGAAAACCGTAGACGAAACGGGCGAGTGTCGACCCCGGGATGATAACCAGTACCGCGACCGGCGGAAGAACGATTCTCTTCCTGCTGAATTTGGAACGTGCTCATGCTCGATGAAAGAATGGTACTGCACGAAAAACCAGTTTTACTGCCAGTTATAGGTATATTATGTACTTTCCTATTCGTGCTATATCAAATGGAAATTTTATTTCTTTTCCATTTCATAGTATAAATGTTGAAACTACTACAAAATTATAATTCTCAGTTTATAAACTAGCATTATAACGAACGGTCAAAGCCTGATGGAGTTCCTATACGCCACCTGAGAATGTGCATCGGTGCATATTTACGATGCATCTACTTGAAATAGCTCCAACTAATTATTGTTTGAGAATAAATGCTAATTAATGACCAGACTAAACCGCGAATTGCTCGCTAGACGAGTAGCACGGTTCGGTCGCAATGCGGGGATTACGCCGGGATAAGTGCTTTATAAGCAGTATAAATAAAGTTAATAGCGCCGGTGAGAGATGGGACAATGCGCTATGGGAATTGATTGCGATAAAGTTGGACGCAGCGGGGAGCGGACGTATAGTACTGCTTTTATGTGACGATGCCGAGAGTAAGTCTGATTTAGAGATTCGAATAAACCACCAACCAAGAATAAATTAATAAATAAAAACAAGAATTTCAGGTGGTTACTTTTTTTGTATCAAAGGCGTCCCCAACCAGTAGATTTACAAATAATTAATTAAAGAATACGCTTTCTTGTGAGTGATCAAACATAGTCATTTTAACATTTTAGTGTACATATCACATTTGTGAAATCCATACATGTCGTTATATTGTTTTTATAACATCAAAAAAGAAA